TCATCACTTCTCCGCTGAGCGGTAACCAAGTCGCAGCCAACCAGCATCCTCGGCCTCATCAGGGACCACCATTACCTGCAACGAAGTTGTGCAGCCTGGTTCTTCCCTACGGCCTCACCAGCGTCTAGGCACAGCACTTCTGCACACGGTCTGAAGGACACCTCCTCCCGTCAACGCAGATGCCGGCCACTACGCACCTACCCTCGCAGCATCTCTTCCCCGACTCACCGTGGGACACTGCGAGCTCATCTCTCCGACTCACTGGAGTTTCACCCTGCACCGCTGACCCGACTCACTGGGCACTCAGCGGCACGGTTCCGACCCACTGGAACTAGGGACGTTCTACACTGGCTCTGGCACCGCTCATCTCAAGCATCGACAGCAGTCTCAGCGGGATCGACCTCCGGTCTTAGGAGGGAGTGATGTGGCGACGCATGCCACATGTCAACGGATGACGTCACAAGAATACTACATCGCACATGCAAAGTTTACAAGCGAATAAACACGGATAGAAAATCCCAACGAACAACTGTTGGGCAGAAAGCCCGCCAGGCACGATCACCTCGCCTGGTCGGAGGATCCTCCTTTTCCGATCTTAGGGAACTATACACTCTGTTCCCTAAACTACTTTTAATCTCTATTTGGCTACAGGATCGGGACCGATTTGAAAGAATTGTTTGCTATTGAGTTAAAAATAACACCACAGTATTCCATCACATTCGCAGGCACCACCTAAAGCTACATTCTTGCTGAACCTTTTTCCTCTATCTATATGTAATTCTTACTTAATTATAATAATAACTGCCTCGTTGGCCGAGTGGTTGCAAGTGCGACTGTCGGGCAAGGGGTCTCGGATTCGATTTCCGGATCGGGCAAAGTAACAATGGGTTTTAAAAAAAATCTCAGTAGTAAAGATAAAAGTCGTGATGTTATGTGTTATAATAATAATTTTGGCAGATGCAATTTTCAACAAAAACCTCTGAAGGCCTCAATTTCTTGATGCATATAATAAAACCTAGAATATTCCAATTTCCAAGCCACCTCGTGTATCATTGGCCTTAATTGTCGAGGCTTCGGACTGGCTTAGACCTCAGTGCCTCGCTCGCTAGCCATTCATAAAGCCTAGATTAATATTCTGTTCTGAACCCATCTTAGAGGATTATGTTGCAATCTTCTTATAGCATAAAGATCGGTCAAGTACGTAGCAGTTACCGGGATGATAAAAAGAAGGAAGCTCTAATAAGTTCTTTGGGAGGGTGATTTATTGGATTATGGTTGAAAAAATGCAGTTTCTGAACCTTTGTGAACCTATTTACCTTTGTGAATGTCGTAGTTCGGAGGTTTAAGACGCCCGCTTCTCACACACGAGGGTGCGGTTTTAAAACCTATCAACGGCCAGTACATGTATGTATATGTAAGTATATGTACTTTCTAAGATTATTTAGACACCACTAACAAACGGTGAAGGAAAACATTGTGACGAAACCTAGGCTTATGATTATTAATTATAAATTTGAAATCGCCAACCCGCATTGAGCAAGCTTGACGATTAATGTTCAAACCTCCGTATGAGAAGAGGCCTTTGGTCAGCACAATTCCAGACTCCATTCTACTACTGAGAAATAAAAAAAAAACAATAATACTTTGCCCGATCCCGAAATTTAACCCGAGACCCCTTGCCCGGCAGACGCACTTGCGACCACTTAGCCAACGAGGCAGTCAATTTAATAAATTAACAGCAATACTTTTAAGTTTACTAACCAAAAATGAAATTTATTGCCAAGCATATTTAAAGATCAAATTACACTAAAGCACACATCGTAACAACGAGGTCGGGCTAGCTCAGCCAAAATTCCGTTCATGCATTTTACCATGCAGTTCATAATTTTCAATGAAGACAAAATATAACTTAAGCTGTTCGTGTATTAAATTATGGTACAAAAGTGGACGTATAAATCCTGTGGGCTGGCACTAGCATGACCGGGGCTATGCCAAATATCCATTCAAATGCCTGGATAACACGTTAGCTGAAGTAAGTTTCATAAATAGGATTCAGAGTCTTTACAAAATTGTCTGTGCAAGCTTGGTTAATAATTAAGTTTTAGTGGTTGATAATGAGATTGATTTTCATGTAATGAAGGTTTACTAGTGTTATTGAACCTTACATAAACATTCATATTCATATTCATTTATTTTTATATCATAAAGTAAATAAGGTGTGGACCCCACAAGGGCAACATAAACTGCATTATTTTTTAAAAATAATGTTAACGTTTTCAATATAAAGTTTTCATTTTTATCATCATATACCTATGGAATCATATCTAACATCTAAGCAAGGCTCTGAGGTTAAAAAAGCATAATTACTTTCGATTTTTCTCAAAAAGAAAGTAATTTGCAGTGTATATTGACACCAACGCTTATGTATGGTAGTGAAACATGAGTGTGGCAGAAGAAGCATGAAAGCAGGATTAATGCGGTGGAAATGAGAGCCCTGAGAAGTATATGTTGACTAAAATTGAGTGATCGAGTGAAATATAGTGTTATTAGAGAAAAGTGTGGATTGAAAGATGATGTATATCATATATAGTTATGTATGTATGTATGTAGAAAGTAATTTAACAAAGCAATTTCATCTAACTTAAACTGTCAAACACCAAGCGGTCACCGGTGACCGCGACCTATTGTTCTTTAATTGTGTCTATAAAACCGGTACTCGACGAGTTAATGATATCACACACAAAACGTAACTATCATAAAGTAATCATTAGATACATTACAAGAACCTATGCGTGCCACTTAAACAACTTAACATCAAAAACGGGTCTGGAACCAAAACTTGTTCTTATAAAAGTGAAGCATAAAACAATTTATCAGAGAACAAATGGATACAAATTGTTCGTACGCTGCATAGCTTGAAAGCCAAAAAGCCAGAAAGGCTAAAGGCTATAAGAAGTGTAGGTCGGGAGGCTATGGCCGATATCAAATATTTGTCGGCCATCCGACCAGCCGACGTGTCTGTATACGAAGGTACGATAAACTTAACATGGACTTTTGTTTAAAAACATACAAAAATACATTACGTTGCATGTTATTTTTTATACCTCATAAGTAGTAGATTTCCTTTATTTTACAATAAATGTATAACGTTTTGTACAGAGATAATATAATATTACTTTAACATCGTCTTAAAACAATATTAAAGAAAAAAATGGAGACTAGAAAAAGGATTAACTATAACGAGGATTAGATTAAGACTAACATTTTCCTATAGATCCTAAAATAATTCCATCCAAACTGGTACTGAATGTAAGATAGACTTCTAGAAAAATAAACATAAAATAGTTTTTATAATAACAATCGTGAGACATACTAAATTAACTAAAATCGCAGGTTACTCACGTGAATATACTGAGAAAAGCTCTACTAGTTTCGAGTCACAGAGAAGAACCCCTCTATGGTTCGAAACTAGTAGAGCTTTTTTCTTTAGTTAATTTAAAACAAAAAATTCATAACCTTCTATCTGCGCATTACTAATAAAATTAAAAATGTGATCATTCCCCACACACCGTATCGTCCTAATAAAACCCAAAAGTTGATGATCACATCAGCATTCAGACTGCATTCGTTCAAATATTTAATTTGTCCGTACGTCCACACAAAACCAACATTGATGGAATTCCGTATTCAGAAAATGTAAAACAAGCTGTACGGCGTAAATGTTACAGCAGTAGTGATGATTCGCCGGTTCTGGCTCATGAATTTCAGGCTCAGACCGGCGCCAGAATGCCGCGAATCAGTTGCACCAATCCTAAAAAAAAAAAAAAAAAAAAAAAAAAAAAAAAAAAAAAAAAAAGGTTTTGGCATGCTCTGATCACGTTTCTGCAATCCTTTTTAGCGTACGATGCGTGGTTCTGGAGTTATGCAAATCGATTCCAAAACAATTTATTGTATCTATTAATTAATTATCTCATTAATTAATTAATGACATAATTAACCCTCATTATGTTTGATTTCCTATGTCATCAATAAAACACAACCGTTCATTTTTAATTTTTTATTTCATTACTTTTCTACAAAATATGAGTGGAACATCTTATCCACAAAAATATCATTGTACAGTGTGTTTCCTGTAAATATGTTCGTAAAACTATTCATTGAACATCCTTGAAACTTAAATAGCAAATACATTAAGCAATATTCACCACAAACTGAAGTCCAATCATTCTGAATCCTATCAACATTCCAGTCCCATCTCTTACAATTCCTTTTCAAAAACTGAAGATGATATCGCTCAGGTGTTCGTCCATATGAATCAAAATATTGACCGATGCCATTCACATCGATATGTACAGCTACCCAGTGTGAGCCTGGTTTATCATCCGCATCCAAATTGGATATTATATACGTTGGTACTTGTGTATACATAGGTAGTCTATTAGCAGCATAAACATTATTTTCTAGACTGGGATGAATCTTTTTCATATGTTTTTTTAATTCTAGTGTATCCATGATATCACTGTTATTAGCAGTTTATTGCAGTACCAATCTATTCAATGGTTGTCATAGGAATGTTCAATTATAGTGATTTGTAAATCGCATACTGATCTTCATGCCTGTTGCGACGTGAGATAAGTTTGTTGACTCATACAGTTCCGTTGTACTTAGGAATTTACTTCAGATAACGTGGTCATAGTAATGTGTAATTAATGTGTAATTAAGATAGTGATTTGTGGGAGTCACAAAACATGTTCATGCCTGTTGCGACGTGAGATAAGTTTGTTGACTCATAGAGTTCCGTTGTACTTAGGAATTTACTTTAGATAACGTGGTCATAGTAATGTGTTATTAATGTGTAATTAAGATAGTGATTTGTGGGAGTCACAAAACATGTTCATGCCTGTTGCGACGTGAGATAAGTTTGTTGACTCATAGAGTTCCGTCCGAGATAAGAATTGTGCTATATAAGATCGAACAGTTGCAGTCATGCAGTCAGTTTATGGTCATTTGACCACAGTGGATTGTATACGTCTACCAATACTACGTTTGTGTTACCTACTTCAACGCATCAATGATCATGGAGGTAAGTGTTTATTCTATTGACAAACTTACTTGTATTTCTGTTGTTGTTTTCCTAACGTGTGTGTGTGCGTGTGAGTCGGATTAAGTGTAAACAAATTGATATTAACGTGATAACTCTGTTGTTGCAGAGATCATTCAGCTTCGTCGACGATAATGAAAATACCTATAAACAGTATTACTACTCGCCACTCTCTCCCCAACACGAAGAAGAGAGAGATGACATCGTCGTTAATAACACAGACGATGGAGGAAAAAGGAAATCGCAACCGATTGATCAATTTTTTGAAGTGACACCAAAAATAAAAAGGAAGAAGCAGCTATCGTCGACTGTGGCACGAGCTGCTAGAGATGGCGTATCATACATCTCTACAAATTCTGACGACGGAGACCAAGCGACGCATCTCATAAAAATTGAAATGTATGATATGAAGAAACTATCCAAGATTCCAATTAGTGATCACTGGAAGCACGCTACCACGAGGATTAAATATTACGTAAAGAATAATAAGGATAGCATCTACGACAACACAAACGGTCTCGTATACAATATTACAAAGACAATAGCAGAAAGTGAAAAAGTTAAAAAATACTTTTTTAACAATGACACTCATTAGTGGATTCGTGAATGTGATTCTGTTTACTTAAAGTACTTCTGTGTAATCATTAGATTTTTACATGACTTTCCTGATCCTTTGCTAGACTATAAATATTGGACATTATTTGAAATTTGGTATCAGTTGCTCTACCAACACTTAACTGTTATTTACTGTGCTACATACTAACTTCTTTATTATAAAGATGGAAAACTTCAGTGAAATATGCACTAGTGCTTTCTTTTCCACACCCATCGAGGAGAATATAGAACAATTCAACAGTGAATTCAATCAGGAGCTGTCTAAAGTTTGTGATGAAATAGAGAAGCGTGAACTGTTCAATTCATCGTACGATGATGAGTTGTATAATCAATGTTTGATGGTTGAAACAACGTTGATGTAAGTATTAGAAGTACAAACTCAATAAGAAATATTATTGTAGTAATGTTTTTTTAAGATCTGTGTAATAATTTTCTTTTTTGTTACAGTCAACAACAAGTTGGAAGAGGTATCAAACAAGGTATCACTACCGATGAAAATAAGGTTACCAAGAAAGCAAAATTTGATGAAGGAGCTTCTACATCATCAATTGAAACCAATGACGTGGACAACAATAAGGTGGAATGTGATACATGTCATGTTTATATTAAGAAAAGGTATTTAAACAACCATTTAAAAAGCAATACACATAAAAATAATCTTTTTAAATCACATAATTCATTAACAAATGTTACAGTTGTTGAAACTGCTTTTGGCAATCGAATTTTAACATATAGAATTAATAGTAAAACACATCAATCGGGGCAATATTTTGAAACACCGGAATCATTTTTAAATTCATTAAAAATCGATATCTTATTTTTGATAAATGAATGTATTCAACAACATACAATTTTTAAAATAAACTTCGTATTGCATGCTGATTTCATACAACAAACTAAAGATATTAAAAATACGTTTGATTTTCAAACGTTTAATTACATAATATGTCAGGGAGATGACTTAAATATTTTTTATTCATCATTAATAGACACAGTAGTCGGTAAAATTTGTCAATTTGAAAAAAAAGATAGTGGTTGGAGTCTTAATCAAATTAAATACATAGATATGAATGTTAACAAATTCAACCCCCTACGTGGTAGTTCATATATCAACCTTCCTCAAGATATTAAATCAAAAAAAGCTGTAATCAATGTTAAAAATAATGATAATATGTGTTTCAAATGGGCATTACTCTCCGGTTTATATCCTGTATGTAAAAATGTAGATCGGGTAGCATCTTACGCAATTCATGGAAATAAACTAAAATTTACTGGTATTTCTTTTCCGGTTAAAATTGCAGATATATCAAAAGTAGAGAAATTAAACAATATTAGTATTAATGTTTTTGGCTTAGAGTATAATAAAGAAAAAAAGTGTAATTCTGTTGTAGGTCCTTTATATTTATCAAAATGTCGTACACCTAATCATATTAACCTACTATATATATCGAATGGTACTAACAATCATTACTGTTATATTAAAAACTTATCGCGATTAGTTAGTTCACAAATATCAAGACAACATCATACAGTTTATATATGTGATTCATGCTTACTTCATTTCCCATCAAAGGAAAGACTTAATAACCATCAACAATATGATTGCGCTCACATTTGTACGGAATTACCAAACGGTGAGGATTCCAAAAAGGATTGGTTTGGTAAAGCAACCTCAAATAATAAATTAAAATTTGATAAATTCGCGAAAAAGTTGGAAATGCCGTTTGTGATTTATGCAGACTTTGAGGCATTTTTGAATCCGATAGAATCATGTAGTAACGATCCATCCAAGCCTAGTACAATTAATATTCAAAAACATGAAGTGTATAGTTTTGGATATTACATTAAATGTTCATATGATAACAGATTATCAAAATATGAGACATATAGTGGGTCAAACTGTGCACAAGTGTTTATGAATCGCCTTTGTGAAGATGTGAAAGCAATAGTTAAAAAAAATAGTTTCCAAAAATGTCCCGTTCCATTATCAGATGAAGATAAAATTAAAATTTCAAATTCAAACATATGTCATATTTGTGAAACTGAGTTAAATGAAGATCTTTTTTACGATTTTGATTGGCACACTGGTAGTTTTAGGGGTGTTGCACATCAAGTGTGTAGTTCTAAGTACAGAACCCCTCGTCATATCCCAATATTTTTACATAACCTCAGTCACTACGATGCTCATTTCATTGTCCATGCATTAAACCTCGATGATGACAAAGTTGAAGTTATTCCACAAAACAAAGAACGATACATATCATTTTCAAAACAGTTAACAATAAATAATCAACCAGTAAGTTTAAGATTCGTAGATTCACTGAAATTTTTATCGTGTAGTTTAGATCAACTAGCTAAAAATCTTAATGATGATCAGTTTACAGAACTAAAAAGGAACTATCCTAATAATGAAGATTTTTCACGTTTAAGACGGAAAGGTATTTATCCTTATGAATTTATGTGTAATAGTGATTGCTTGAAACATCCGTCACTTCCTGATCAACACCAATTTTATAGTTCACTCACAGATTCAAATATTTCAAATGATGATTATAATCACGCAAAAGATATTTGGCAACATTTTAAGTGTAGTAGTATGTCTGATTATTCCAATTTATATTTAAAAACTGATGTTTTACTTTTGACTGATGTATTCGAAAACTTTAGAAAGCTTTGTATAAAAACTTATGGACTAGATCCTGCTCATTACTATACTGCCCCAGGTTTAAGTTGGGATGCAATGTTAAAATTTACAAAAATAGAATTAGAATTATTAACAGACTATGACAAAATTGCTTTTTTTAAAGCTGGTATTAGAGGGGGTATATCTCAGTGTAGCAATCGTTTTGCTAGAGCAAATAATAAATTCATGGAAGATTATGATAGTGAAAAACCTAATTCATATCTTACATATTTTGATGCGAATAATTTATATGGTTGGGCAATGTCTCAATCTCTTCCTGTTGGTGGTTTCGAATGGGTAGATTGTAATACAGATTATAATGTTTCGGATAACTCTGATTTCGGTTATGTTTTAGAAGTTGATTTGGAATATCCTGATGAACTTCATGATTTGCATTCTGACTTTCCGTTATGTCCTGAAAACATATGTGTGGGTAATACTAAAGAATCTAAATTAGTTCCTAATTTAAATAATAAAAATAAATACATCATTCATTACAGGAATTTAAAACAATGCGTTGAAATGGGGATTAAATTAATAAAAGTACATAGAATTTTAAAATTTAAACAGAGTTCTTGGTTAAAGAAATACATAGACTTAAATACTAGTTTGAGAACGTTAGCTACATCAAACTTTGAAAAAGACTTTTTTAAATTAATGAATAATTCTGTCTTCGGTAAGACTATGGAAAATATTGAAAAAAGAGTAAACGTTAAACTACTAACTCACTGGGATAATCGTGGTAAAGTTTTAGGTGCTCAGGATTGGATTGCAAAACCAGAATTCCATAGTTTATCAATATTTTCAGAACATTTAGTCGCAATACAATTACGGAAAACAAAATTAATTTATGACAAACCGATTTATTTAGGATTTTGTATTTTAGATATATCTAAGACCCTTATGTATGAATTTCATTATAACTACATGATTAAAAAGTTTCATAATAAAATTAAGTTATTGTACACCGATACCGATAGTTTGATATATCAAATTTTTACAGACAATTTTTATGAGGATATAAAACCAGATCTACTTCACTATTTCGATACATCAGATTACCCGGAAAATAATATTTACGGATATCCAAAAATAAATAAAAAAAAGTTAGGTTTTTTTAAAGATGAGAATAATGGTAAAGTATTGAAGGAATTTGTAGGGTTGCGATCAAAAATGTATGCCTTAGAAATAGAAGATAAATTTATAGCAAAAGCAAAAGGAGTTAACAAAAGTGTTACCAAAAACATGAATATGGAAAATTACAAATCGTGTTTATTTAATAAAAATGTATTATATTGTAGTATGCTTCGATTTAAGTCAATCAAACACACTATTTTTACACAAAAAATAAATAAAACATCTTTGTCATATAATGATACCAAACGATGTATTATGGACAACAACATTGATACATTGGCTTGGGGACATTATAAATTACGTTAAGTGTAATACTTTTATTTCTGTGTGTATATACAAAATTTGTTTTGATTGCAAAATTATGATATTACTATAATATTATATAATAGTTTATTACATATTTAAAATTTATTGTTTGGTTGTAAATAGTGTAAAAAAATAATTGTAGTTTTTATTTGTGTGCTTAAATTTGACGTTGAGATGATTGTGAAATTCTGATAAGTACTAAATGTATTAGAAATAGTATACAAAACATTCTGTATTTCGCAAATTACATGTTTTATATAATTTTGACAATATATAGTAATTTTACACCGACTTTTCATTTTTATTTCATCCCTTTAAAACTCTAGACGTGTGAAATGTATCACTTTATCCATCCGTTTACTGCTATTGTGGCAGGACCAAGTGGATGTGGGAAGTCAAATTTTGTAACAAATTTCATAAAATCAGTTAAAGAAATATGTAATTGTGATTTTAATCAGATCACATGGTGCTTTGACGAAATGCAGCCTTTATATAATTTACCAAATGTTAACTATCATCAAGGAATTCCAAATCTTAATATGTTTGATGGTGAAAACCCACACCTTATTATTATTGATGATCTAATGAGAGAGTCTGATGGAAGAATTGTGGATATATTTACAAAAGGTAGTCATCACAGGAATCTTAGTGTATTTTATTTAACACAAAATTTATTTCATCAAGGTAAAGGTCAAAGAGACATTTCTTTAAACTCAAGTTATATAATTTATTTTAAAAACCCTCGAGATAAAACTCAAATAAGATATTTAGCACGACAAGTGTCACCAGATAACCCAAAATTCATTGAAGACGCCTACAGGGATGCAACTTTAGAAGCGCATGGATATTTAATGATAGATTTAAAACAGAATACAAATGATTTTTGTCGTATCAAAACCAATGTATTCCCATTTAATGGTTACTGTACAGTCTACGTCCCCACGAAAGAGTTTAAATACACCAAGAATCAAACAATTCAAATCATTTCTAAATGATGCATCGTCGACTCACAACGCATAAACATTTGCTGAACGCTTTGCGCACGCTTAAACCAAAATATCAAAGAGCGTTACTTAAAACGTGTGATGAAGAAGAAATAAATTGTATTTGTGAATGTATTCATAACGTTTTACAAGGAAAGATACCTCTCAAAGATCAAGATAAACAAAAATTGAATAAACACAAAAATATACTCCGTAAACTGGTGCATAAGTGTAAACATAAACTAAGAAAAAATATTATTATACAAAAAGGAGGGGCTTTCTTACCAATAATATTAGGTGCAATATTGAGTGGATTAGTAAGTGGACTAGCCAGTTAACATGGAAAATGCTAAGAAAATGATACTTATTGAACCTGGATTGATTGAAAAATTAAAACAAGAAAATAAGGTTACTAGTAATTTGTCTCGACTAGATATTGAAATGCAAAATATTATGAATAGTAAGACGGAAGACCGAAAGAAATGGATGTTATATTTACAAACACTACAAAGATATCTTCACTTTACCGAAGAGGATCGTCAACCACTCAGATTACCAATTTATTCTGATACATCTAATGAAGATTCAAATGGATCTAAAATTGGTTTTAAAAGTAAAGATAGAGATCTAAAAAGTTCAGTTGATGCTGAATCTTTGTTAGAAGAGAAAGGATCTATTAAAAGTATAGAAAGTGAGGCAAATCCACTGTATTCACCGACACAAATACTCAGTTTAATACCAAAAACTTATAATAAAAAAGGTGAGTCATTATTAAACTTAATTGGAATAAGTAAAAGTAAAATACGTTGGGATAATGAAGGCACAGTCATAATTGATAATGAAAAAATTCCAGGAAGTAATATTGTTGATTTAATAAATGATTCACTTAGACCCTTAAAAAAAAGTGATCCGATAGGGTGGGATAGATTTGCTAAAGCATTAAAAGATATTAAAGTACCACTTACTTATATTGGAAATCCAAAGAGATGTGAGTTTATTAACCAACTTCAAGCAAAAGATCTGAACAAAACCTCTGAGATTGAAGTTCAAGAGTTTTCTACGCCGAGCAGTGGAGATAAAAGATCTATAACTAAAATACGTAAAAAGATCGATTGGGAAAAATGGACCCCGTACTAGAAGAAATTAACAGGATTTATTATGATCCATCTAACCCCGCTGGTTTTGGTAGTATTGATAATTATCAAAAGCTATGAAGGGGAAAATGGATAAAAAGCAAGTAAAGGAATGGTTACAATCGCAAGAAACATATACACTACATAAACCCATTCGGAAAAAATTCCCGCGTAATAGGTACATTCTATCAAATATTAATGAGCTGTGGCAAGCTGATTTAAGTGATATGCGAACTTATGCTCAATATAATGATGGTTTCAACTACATACTTTGTGTTATTGATGTATTTAGTAAATATGCTTTTGCAAGACCAATGAAAAAGAAAAACTCAGAAACAACTAAAGAATGTTTTGAAAGTATATTTACTGAAAGTAATTCAACACCTACTCACATACAATCTGATAAAGGTACAGAATTTATTTCAAAAGATGTACAAAAATACTTTAAATCCAAAAAGATAAATTACTATACCACTAACAATCCTGATATTAAGGCTAGTATTGTTGAACGATTTCAAAGAACTCTAAAAATGAAAATGTGGCGTTATTTCACTCATAATAATACTTATAGATATATCGATGTTTACAAGATTTAATATACTCTTATAATAACAGCATTCACTCGAGTATTAAGATGTGCCCATGTGATGTAAGTTCCAACAATATTATGACAGTTTGGACTAATCTTTATGATAGAGGATCAAACAAACTTTCTTTAGAAAATCCAAAACCAAATTTCAACGTGGGTGATTATGTTCGAATAACTAAATATAAACATGTTTTCCAAAAAGGATATGAATCAAATTGGAGTGATGAAATATTTATTATATCTTCAATAATTGATAGATCTCCATGGATTGTTTATACAATAACTGATTTACAAAATGAACCAATAGTTGGTACTTTTTATGAAAGAGAATTACAGAAGGTCACTTACAACCCCACCTCACAATATAAAATAGATAAAATAATTGGCACTCGTTATTCGGGTAACAGAAAAGAAGTATTAGTGAAGTGGAGAGGTTATCCAGATAAATTTAACAGTTGGATTTTAGCTTCTAGTTTGAAAGAAATATGAATAAAGAAAGTTTTTATTTAACTTTGCTCAGCAATAGTTCAATGGAATACTTTCCTGATAACAAGACCACAAATTTTTCAACAAAATTACCAAAAGCTATGAAATTAGAAGGTGAATGGTCGGTTGGAGTTGTCGAGTTTCAATATCCATGCACCATGTTTACTGTTCAAGATCATGAAAATGTTGTATACATCACAAAAACCATGTTAATGCCTAATGAAGATAAACCATCAACAGTGTACTACAAAAAACATATTCCCGCTACCAACTACGATAACGTTGAACATATTTTAAAAACGTTAAATAGTATCAGAGAGAACTTGAAATTTCGTTATGATGAAATAACAAAATTTGTGTCTGTTTCTGTTTTGGATAAAAATATAACATCCATAACATTATCACCCAAATTAAGTTTACAACTAGGTTATGAGCCAAATACAAATCTCTTAGACAGAAATTTTGGGAAGTGTCCTGCTAATTTACACTTAGGGTTACCATCTCAACTATTTCTATATTGCGATATTATCGATCCTCAGATTGTGGGTGATGTTATGACTCCGCTATTAAGAGTCATTTCATTAGATCCTTCAAAATACATTTATGGTGCGAATAAAATGCACATTTTCTCTCCACCTCACTACTTACCTGTTATGCGAAGAGAGTTCGATACGCTAGAAATAGATATAAGATCGAGCACAGGACAAAAAATCCCATTCCAGTTTGGAACCGTGTGTATTAAACTACATTTCCACAAATTATAATAATGTATTCTCATCATGATCATCATAAATGTCCATACGAAAATTATTATTCTCATCAAGCTGGATCAGGAGTTGGAGTAATTTATAAGGGTTCACCATACCAACGTGGTCATGGTATTGGGAGCTTCTTAGGAGGGTTATTTAGATCAGTTTTACCTTTACTTTCAAGTGGTGTTCGAGTGGTTGGTAAGGAGGCATTAAATGCTGGAGTAGGACTTTTATCAGATATGGTTCAAGCCCGTCCTATGGAAACTCAATAAAAAATCGTCTAAAGCAAGTTAGTACGAACTTAAAACGAAAGGCTGATGACAAAATTGATCGATTTAACATGACAGGGTCTGGGTATATAACTAAAAGAAAACGATTGGCCTCATTCATTCCACCACTAACAGCGAAAGTGAAAGCTACGAAAAAACTTGGTCTAAAACCAAAAAACATCAAAGATATATTTTCAAATTAAGTATGTCTTTCCTTCATAATCATTCTTGTGAGTGCGTTAAGTCAGAATTAGATTTGTTTGCATTACCGTCTACACAAACAAGCATTGAAAATGGATTGTGGATTCACTATAAACCAATTTCATCTCTTGCTGATGATGGACCTATCGAGTTTCAAGTTCCTGGAACAGGCGATGACTACATAGATTTGTCTCATACATTACTCCACATAAAGGCAAAAGTATTAAATCAAGATTCAACAAACTTGATATCAGCTACAGCAGTAGCACCTGTAAATAATTGGTTGCATTCACTTTTTAGTCAACTCGATATTTATTTAAACCAAAAACTTGTATCACCACCTAATAATACCTATGCTTATCGAGCATACATGGAAACCCTTTTAAACTATGCTCCTGCTGCTAAACAATCTCATCTTACTTGTAGTCTTTGGTATGATGATACAGCAGGAAAAATGGATTCCACAGATGGTAAAAACATTGGATTTGTTAAAAGACAGGAATTAGTTAATGAAAGCAGGGAAGTAGAAATGATTGGTCATCTTCATGGTGATATTTTCAATCAAGATAAATTTTTAATTAATGGCG